GCGTTACTGCAGGTTCTTCAGGCTAAAGCACTGAGGGACCTGCACGAGGGTGGTCATGATCCGGAAGTTCTAAAAGAGCTCAGAGCTCGAGATCAGTTGCGGTTCGGAGCAACGAAGGTCACCAAAAGTTCTCTGGGTCGTGCGATGTCCACACTTGTGGTCCAGGAGCGTCACCTCTGGTTGTGTCTGGTCGACATGAGGGACGCCGACAAAGTTCGGTTCCTCAAGGTCCCTGTGTCCCAGGCCGGCCTTTTCGGCGACACAGTCGAGAACATGGCCCAGCAGTTCTCGGCTGCACAGGAGCAGACTGAGGCGATCCCAGCCTGCTCGTCACCGAGGGCGGCCCCCTGCGTCCACCCCCACTCCCGTGCCGCATCTGCAGCAGCCTCAAGCAAGCAGCGCCGTGGAGCTGGGCATAGGCAGGCCACCCCGCCCGTCCAGGCCCCCGTCAACCTGGCTGTGAACGGAAGAACAAGAGGCCTTGGGATAGGCAACCCAGAGAGAGAGGGAACTGCTCTTTGGGGGATGGTGAATGCACCTTTCCCTCCCCGAGAGGGTGAAAAATCTCGACAGGAGAGCGGTTTTCTCTGTCTCTGGGTCCCACGAGGGCATGGAGAGTCGCGGATGGACCAACAATGAACCACACTCATCCTTCTCTCTGGCCAGAAGGCAGCAGCGAGTGGTTTGAGAGCATCATCAAAGGCCCTACTCACGCTCCCTCTGCCAAACCGTGGAACCAAGTAAGTGTTGCACTGCACACTCAGACTCCTCTTCAGGTCCCTGCGTTCCACCTCGCTGCCCCACTGCGGGTACGTCGGTGGTCCCGCTGGTCCAGCTTGTGTGGTGTCTGGGTGCCTTGCTACGCAAACCGTCTCGCTGGCTCCTGCGGACCATCAGACTCAGCTATGCGATTCAGTTAGCCCGGCGTCCCCCCCCAAGTTCAGCGGCATCCGCTTCACATCAGTGAAGGCGGCTGATGCTCCTGTCTTGCGTCCGGAGATCGCAGTCCTACTGGCGAAGGATGCGATAGAGCCGGTTCCTCCAGCCGATATGGAGATGGGGTATTACGGCTCCTACTTTGTTATACCCAAGAAAGGCGGTGGGTTACGACCAATCTTTGACCTGCGTGTCTTGAACTGGGCCCTTCACCGGCTACCGTTCAAGATGTTGACGTAGGAACGCATCTTCGGGTGCATCCGTCCCTGAGATTGGTTTGCAGCGATCGACCTGAAGGACGCGTACTTTAATGTATCGATCCTTCCGCACCACAGACTATGCTCGTCCCTCGAATGGTTCGCGTTCGAAGGACGAGCATATCAGTACAAGGTCCTACCCTCCGGGCTGTCGCCCCGTGTCTTCATGTAAGTTACAGAAGCAGCCCTTGTTCCTCGGAGAGAACAGGGCGTTCGCATTCTCAACTACCTCGACGTCTGGCTCATACTAGCTCAGTCTCAGGATCAGTTGTGTGCACACAGGGACTTGGTGCTTTCGCACCTCAGCCGGTTGGGCCTTTGCGTCAACTGGGAAAAGAGCAAACTCTCCTTGGCGCAGAGGATCTCTTTTCTCGGTATGAAGTTGGATTCGGTCGAGCACGCCTCATGCAAGGACGTGCTCAGTCGGTGTTGAACTGCCTGAATGTGTTCAAGTGCAGGATGGTGGTCCCACTGAAACAGTTTCAGAGGCTCCTGGGGCATATGGCAGTTGCAGCAGCAGTCATGCCGCTGGGGCTGCTTCATATGAGACCGCTTTAACACTGGCTCCATGGCCGAGTCCTCAGGTGGGCGTGGCTACACGGCACTCACCGGGTCCGAGTCACACCGGCCTGCCACCAAACCTTCACCCTGTGTTCAGACCCTTCGTTTCTCCGGGCAGGAGTGCCCCTGGAACAGGTCTCCAGGCATGGCGGGGTTTACACAGATGCCTCAACCACCATCTGGGGGGCCACGTTCGACGGGCTTGCAGTGTCGGTGGTTTGGACTGGCACATCAATTGCCTAAAGTTGCTGGCAGTATGCCTGGCCTTGAGCCATCTCAAGAGGCACTTTCAAGGCAAGCGCGTGCTGGTCCGCACGGACAACAATGCGACCGTTGCGTACATCAACCGACAAGGTGGTCTACGCTCATGTCGCAACTCGCCCGTCACCTCCTTCTCTGGAGTCAGAAGCATCTGAGGTCATTCACATTCCTGGTCTGCACAACCAAGCAGCCGATGATTTGTCACGAGCTGCACTCCCGGGAGAATGGAAACTCAATCCCCAGACGGTCCAGCTGATTTGGAGTCGTTTCGGAGCCGCTCAGGTAGACCTGTTTGCCTCTCCAGAAACCTCTCACTGCCAGTTGTTCTACTGTCTGGCCGAGGAAACACTCCGCACGGACGCACTGGCACACAGCTGGCCGCGGGGCCTTCGGAAGTATGTTTCCCCCAGTGAGCCTTCTTGCACATATACTGTGCAAGATCAGGGAAAACAAGGAGCAGGTCCTGCTCGTGGCGCCTTACTGGCTCACTCGGACTTGGTTCCTGGAACTGATGCTCCTTGTGACAGCCCCTACTGAGACAGGGCACCCTATGGCACCCGCGTCCAGACCTCTGGAAACTTTATGTCTGGTCCCTGGACGGGATGCAGAGGTTCTAGGTGACTTACCCTAAGAGGTAGTTGGCACCATCACTTCGGCGAGAGTACCATCTACGAGACACGCTTACGCCTTGAAGTGGAACCTGTTCGTCGAATGGTGCTCTTCTCACCAAGAAGACCCCTGGAAATGTCCGATCGGAGTCGTGCTGTCCTTTCTGCAGCAGGGGTTGGAGCGAAGGCTGTCTCCCTCCACCCTTAAAGTCTATGTGGCTGTGATTGCTGCCAACCACAACCCCATGGAAGGGAAGTCGGTGGGGAAGCATGACCTGGTAATCAGGTTCCTTAGGGGGCGAGAAGGCTAAATTCTCCACGGCCCCACTCTATACCCTCTTGGGACCTGTCTCTAGTGCTCAGAAACTTCAGCTCGACTGTCTGCAAAGGCTCAAATGGGCTACAGCAGGGCCCATTTGAGCCTCTGCAGACAGTCGAGCTGAAGTTTCTATCAATGAAAACTCTGCTCCGCTCAAATGGGCTACAGAAGGGGCCCATCCTTACTTTGCAGACAGTCGAGCTGAAGTTTCTATCAATGAAAACTCTGCTCCTGCTTGTATTGGCCTCTATCAAAAGGGTAGGGGGACCTGCACGCATTTTCGGTCGACGATTCATGCCTAGAGTTTGGGCCGGCTGACTCCCAGGTAATCCTGAGGCCCCGGCCCGGCTATGTGCCCAAGGTTCCCACTACTCCCTTCAAGGATCAGGTGGTGAGCCTGCAAGCGCTGCCCCCGGAGGAGGCAAGACCCAGCCCTAGCTTTGCTTTGTCCCATCCCAGCATTCAGATACTACGTAGACAGGACACAAAGCTTCAGGACCTCAGACCAGCATTCAGGTTGCAAGCTCACTCTACTAGAAATGTTACATCCTCCTGGGCGCTGGCTCGTGGTGCCTTGCTGGCAGATATTTGTAGAATTGCGGGCTGGGCGACCCCATCAACACGTTCACTAGATTCTACATCCTTCATGTGGAGCCGGTATCCTCCTGTGTTCTCACCTCAAACAGGTCGAAGCACTGAGAGGCCCCAGCTTCGGGTCGGCTTGCTAAAACCGCTCCAGAGAGTCCATATCGTAGACCCTGTCCACCCTTGATCCCATATGTGAAAAGTCCATGGTATAGCCTCAGAGCCCGTGTTTCCCCGGCAGACTTCCTGCTATTTTCCAAGAGTGTTACAATCACCTCTAATCTTCCATATGCTCTCCTAGACGGTTGTTCATATGTGCTTCCGAAACCTCCTTCAGGAAGGATGGGCTTCCGCAACATTCCAGTAAGATAAAAGAGATAAAGATATCTGTGTTCAGTTATGTGTGTATGCGTGCATTTATGAAAGCATCGTAGCCTACTGCACACAGTTTTAGTGTAGCTACAAGCCAGACCCAAACCCAAAAGTATTCCACCTGTTGGACTCGGATCAGGTAGCAGACCTCCAGGTCGGTGGCAGTTTGCCCAATTTAGCATATTGAATTGGTGTCAGGGCCGTCGGCGAGAGTGAGAACTCTGATTGGAAGTTCAGTGCTGAGCCTGTGGCTGTTCTATATGCAAGCATCAATGTCTTGAACTTGATGCGAGCTGCAACCGGTAGCCAGTGCAAGGAGATAAAAGAGATAAAGATATCTGTGTTCAGTTATGTGTGTATGCATGCATCTATGAAAGCATCGTAACCTACTGCATACAGTTTTAGTTTAGCTACAAGCCAGACCCAAACCCAAGAATATTTAGAGACCTGTTGGACTCAGATCGGGTAGCAGACCTCTATGTCGGCGGCAGTTTGCCCAATTTAACATATTGAATCGGCGTCGGGGCCGTCGGCGAGAGTGAGAACTCTTATTGGAAGTTCAGTTTAGCGAATGAGTCAGTGCCCGAGAATTCAAGTGAAAGTGATGAAAACAAGTAAATGAAGGCGGCACAGACCGGGGGTTGTTCTAATGTTACGTGATCTTACCCAAGTATGCAAGTATTTTCATAACAGCATGAGCGGCTAAAAATGAATAATGTTATCAACATAACTGATATTCAAAATGGTAAGCAAGCGCTGCTTTATTTACGTTTCGTATATCTGGTATACCCTTGTTTCGATTTCTCCTTTTGAATGACGAATACATACTATTGATAGCTGCTGATATAGACAGCTAATTGTTATCG